AGAAAGAGAGACAGACAGACAGACAGACAGACAGACAGACAGACAGACAGACAGACAGACTTACAGACAGACTTACAGACAGACAGACAGACTTAGAGAGAGACATACAGAGACAGAAACAGACAGACAGACAGACAGACAGACAGACAGACATAAATAGAGACAGAAAGAGAGAGTACGTGACAGACAAGATAGGCAGATAGATAGACATATATAGATTAATACATAGACAGAGGAATTTAAAAAGGCAGCGACTAACTTAGATATAGTGAGGCGATAAACGCCGATGATTCAAAAGTTCTGTGAAAGGCCACGAAGGTAAATAAATAACAATCGAGTGCCTCACCCCAAGAATATAAGTATTTTTGCAGTGTCGCTACTTCGCTCAATAACCTAGCGTGTTTTTAAAAAATAAAATTGTTCTACATCAAAAGTGTTGCACCCTTGCCATTGAAGTTGAACACACATCACATTAACGAACATAATGCTATTCGTGTGAAAGTAATTTGCACCAAATCATAAACACGTTAATCCCTTCCTTGTGCGTGGAAAATTTTGGCCCACCCCTGAAAAAAGTGATCTCAAACTCGCAATGTCATGGGACGCGCATCGCTTGAAAGCGTGAGAAATGGATCTATCTTAAGTCCTGGCTCCTTCTTCAGTTTCCCTCAGGTATTTGGCAAGTTTTCCGACCTGAGCCGAAAGCAATTTCACCCTTCGCAATTGTGCATCTTCCTTGCCTGTTCTCTTGCCATCACGTAGCACATAAATTTTGCTTTCTACATGTGACTTTTTTTGTTTCTACTTATTGTTGCACTCGCACTTATGCGTACTGTTTACGCAGTGGCGTATTTATTTCTGGAATTAATATAAAATAATTTCTAATTTTCCGTTTCTCCACAGCGTTTTTATCCTCGATATGTAGAAAGCAAAAGTTGAAAACTGTGCAGGAACAAAAGTAAAATAACAGGACAGGAAGAATTAAGGGAAATGACAAACGCATAAAGTTGTGACCTCCAAGTACCCATGTACTCGTCTTTCAGTCTCTTAACACTTCCGCCTCTCTCGTTCAATTTTTCTCTTGCATTCTCTCTCTCTCTCTCTCTCTCTCTCTCTCTCTCTCTC